ATTATGTGGGCCATGAGGCAGTTGACTTACTCAAAAATAACTCGCATAAGGCAGAGGAACAAATGACACGCTCAGAACAAAAACGACGAATATTATAAGTCAGAGCAAAAATGAACTATATTTTTTTCTAGAGCAAAAACGAAACAAATCGACAGCGTACGTATGAGCTTTGTGTGTATGCGATATTTCGTGCGCGTCCGGTTGTTTCTGCTTTTGCTTTTGCGTTTGCGGTGATCGGCAAAATGTAGCAGCGAAAACGTTTATTTGTACATTGCAATACTGCAATCGGTTTTGTAGTCTCATGTCCATAATTTGCGTATGCTTTTCCAACCTGTAAGCAAGCCACCAAAACAGTGTTAAATCAGTTACAAAAGAAGTATTTATGTTTTTTGTGCCTTCCTACCGCGTTATTCAACACGTATTTTAAAGTAATGGAAGATGAAAATCATGGTAAATATTTATATTTATTTGCTAGGTAAGAGCAATTATAGTATTATATCTTATTTACAGTAACGTTTACTCCCAGAAAACGACAAAAGCGATTAGAACATCGCAAAAAAAATATTGCAAAAAAAAAGTGTTGAATGTGGCAAAGAGCATAAAACTGTTAGCGGTCGTATAGTTGCGGAAAAAAAATTTATAGCACAAGTAATCTGCAAATGTGGAAAAAGTTGTTGCCACAAGATTGACATTGTCCGCCAAAAGAAAATTTTTGAAAACTATTATCATGCTTTAAATTGGACCCAAAAAAACCTTATATATTCGATCTTCGGTGAAAAGACGTCCTGTGGCTCGCAAAACAAACACGCCGATTATTCCTTTAAACAAAAAAGTGTGAATTATGAGTATTTCATTGATGATGATAACGGTGTAGCTCACAAAGTTTGTAAGAACTTTTTCGTGAAGTGCCTATGCATAACATCGGCTCGTATATACCGTGCTGTAGGTAGTATCCAAAAAAAATTTCGGTGCTGCTGAGACGCGGGGACGAACATCTTCAGCAAACAAAACATCTGAGGAAGATAAAAATAATGTTATTATTTATCAACTTTTTCCCAAAATACGAGTCACACTATGGACGTAAAATATCTCAGAAGAAATATTTACACCCAAATCTAAATTTAACGAAGTTATATAACGAATACAAGAGCTCCTGTGAATTAAAGGATCAACATGTCGTCTCGCAGTACGTCTTTGGTGATATTTTCAACAACAACTTTAATTTAAGTTTTAAAAGGCGTCATTCGGATACGTGTAAAACGTGTGATAATTTACATTGCTCCATGAAAAGTAGTGTTGAACAAAGAGTTACAGAAGAACTAAAAGAAAAACAAAAGGCTCATTTCAAGGCTGTGGAGAGCGTAACTACAGAATTTAAGCAATCTGTTGAAAATGGCAGACAAAATGGCGAATCGATAGTTTTGACTTTCATATTACAAAAGACAATTATGGACGTATAATCTCTGCGTATATGACGAAACTACAAAAAAAGGTAAGAGCTTTTTTTAATACAACGCTTTTATTTTTAATAAATCTATATTATATAAATCAAAGTTCCGAAATTCATTAAATTTTCATATTCATAAAATACACAAAAATTCAGTAAATTATCATGAAAATGTTCAGCTTTTTAGTCAGAATTTTTATAAAAATTATGTGCATATATGCATTTTTTAGACCGTTTAATTTTAGTGTAACAAAAGTCACCTTACAAGTGGCTTTAAATTCGCGTTGAACTTTGGAACACCTGTATAAAGTTTCGGAATTTTGAGTTATATTGCTTTTCTTAAAGAATGAACGATTGTTATATTACGCAATATTGGTAATTTAATCGGTTTTTGTGGCAAAAAGTTATTTTTCCTACTAGATTATGGATCTATATACCATTTTTCCAGATAAGGTCATTTTAACAAGATTTTTATTAAAAAAAAAATCAAATTTTAACAAGGGAAAACATAAAAAAATTAAACTTTTTTTTTAATTTTCCCCATTTTTATTAAAGCATGTTCTTTTGCTAAAAAAATCAATGGATAAATAAACAACTGTTGAATGGTCAAATTATTTTAATTAATTAATATATGCAATAATTTTTGGTATGAAATAGAAGCAGGAAATATTGTTACTCATACGCTATATCGTACATGGCGGTATTCTCACATACTCTTACATGGCGGATGAGCAATATTTTCCATGTAAACTATACAACTAATACACGTGTGGATAAGACATTTGTAAAAATTTTAAATCAACCAAAAAATAACAAATTAAAGCTTTCAATGTATTTTTATTACCTTTTTACGTTTTAAAATCAAGTTATAAGTAAATTGCTTGAGTGAGTTTAAAGTAGGTTGTGTTGAAAGTACTGCCAAATAAGATGCGATTCATAATTCAAGTCTTTGACAAGAAAAATATATAGTTAGAAAAAGATATAAATGTTAGGAAATTAAGATATTTCAAGGGTTAGATTAAAATTAATTTAATTTGGAACTATATTATATAAATATCCACTGTATAAATAGTTTTTATAACTAAGTGGTATATTTTCCTTTGATACAAATGTTTAGAAAAAAACTACATTCAAATTTAAAAAATAAAAAAATACGCCTTCAAACCCTGTTAAAGACTGTCAAGAACTAAGATTTTTTCGCAAATATGTGGGAAATCACAATTTTTTTGACCACTGTATATGTTTAGTAAGCGAAAAAATTTAAGATTACAACCCATTGATAATAATTAACTGTCACCATAGGGGACGTCTCTTACCCCCATCTTCCATAGTTATTTCTTTGATATCACTATACATATGTTTGACCGGTAGATAGAGCAATAATGATACTTTACTTTATTTCAATAGGATACATGTATGTATGGAACGAAAGTGTGGCTTCGAGAGGACAAGAAATAGGTTCTTGCTTAATAAAACATTTTAAAAACCACATCCCTATTGGTATTGAGAATATTGTATTATACTCCGATTCTTGTTGAGGTCAGAATCGCAACATAAAAGTGGCATTACTGCTTAAACATTTTTTAGCATCGTCTCAAATAAAAACCATTTGCCAAAAATTTTTCGTATCTGGCCATAGTTACAATAGTTGCGACAGATGTTTCAGCTTAATAGAAAAGTGCAAAAAAAATATAGACGTCGTTACAACTCCGGATCACTGGTTAGACATAATAAAAACAGCAAAAAAGTGCGAGCCGAAATATAGTGTTTACAAAATGGAAGCATCTGACTTTTTTAGTTCCAAGGATTTAGAAAAGCTTGTCATTAACCGCAAAGTAGACATCACTGGCCAAAAAATTAATTGGCTGAGTGCAAGAAAAATTTTGCAGGAACGGAAAAATTTGTTTCATCTTATTTTTATTAACGAAAACTTGACACATGTTGCAAATTGAAAGAAAAAAAATGTGAAAGAAAAAGATTTCGCAGAGGCAGAATTGCCCTACTTGTTTCCGAGTGGGAAAAAGATCTCAAAAGCTAAATATTTGGACCTTTTGCAATTATTGAGCTTCATCCCTTTAGAGTGTCGGTCATTTTACGAAAATTTGGCCTATGAAAATAGTTCGGATGTTGACTACGGTTTCGCAAGCCAAAGTGATGAAGAGACTAACTGAATAATTACACTAGTCTACAAGATTCTGACCTGTGGCATTTGGCCATCATTACCTACTCATGCAAAATTTTGTCCTTCAAGTAGAAAAGTTTTCGAGTGTTTCGAAACTTCGTTTTTTGGAGATCTGAAGAAAAATTTCAAGTTTTGTATATAGTTAGTTGGCCAATCTCATATTTCTTATTACATTAGTGAAGATTATTAAATTTGCTATCATCTACAGTCGTGTGAAAAATAATAGGGAAACTGCATTTTGACCAGTTTTGGCTATTTTTATGTCGCATTTTTAATGTTTATTATTTTTTATAAAAATGCAGCTCATTATTTATCTAACCATATAAATCAAAATTTCAAACTTTATAGAAAAATTTAAAAAAAAATTACAACTAACTTTTTATTAAAATTTTTTAGATACGCAGTTTTATAGCCCTTTAAATTCTAGCTTAATAAAGTTCAAGTTTCAAGTGGCTAAGAATTCGTGTTGGTTTTTTTGACGCATTTTCACGCATTTTCTTCCATATAAAGTGTTATTGACAATTTTTTTTCTGTATGGAGAAAATAATACCATTCGCAAAAAAAAAGTTATCAAAACTAAACGCGAATTCTTACCCACTTGCAATTTACACTTTATTAATAATTCGAATTTTTTTAATAATTAGAATTTTTCTAAAATTCCTAATAAAAAGTTTGTTGTAAATGTTTGTTGAATTTTGCTACGAAATTTGAAATTTGGACTTATATCGTTTTGGTTAGGTGAGCTGTATTTTTATAAAAAAAATAATAAACATTAAAAAACGAAAGAAAAATAGCCAAAACTGGTCAAAATTTCGTGTCCCTACTATTTTTCACATGACTGTACATAGTAAATTTAATAACCTTCACTAGTGTACAAAGAAATTTGAGATAAGCCAACTAAGTATATAAAAAAATTGCAATTAAGTGAGTATCTATATCTCGAACACAGTTCTACATACTTGAAGGGGAAAATTTTGCATGAGTAATGATGGTCAAATATCGGAGGGCAGATTTTTTCTTAAATTTGTGACTATGTGCTATTTATAACATAATTCATACCATAATATTTAAATACTATATTTGTGAATTCTAATTTAATTTTGTTTCTTTTAAATAATAATTATAATTGCTTTGTGAATTTTCTGATTATTTATTTTATTAATAAAACAAAATTCACTTATTTTAATTAATATTAGGTTTTCTATTAATTTACATAACTTGCGTTGACATGAGACTACAAAACCCATTGCAGCATTGCAATGTACAAATAAACGTTTTCGCTGCTACATTTTGCCGATCACCGCAAACGCAAAAGCAAAAGTAAAAGCAGAAACCACCGAGCGCGCACGAAATACCGCATACACACAAAGCTCACACGTACGCTGTCGATTTGTTTCGTTTTTGCTCCAGAAAAAAATATAGTTCATTTTTGCTCTGACTTATAATATTCGTCGTTTTTGTTCTGAAATTGCCAAATGGTATGATAGGCAATTGACAGAGATGAACAAGTATAAATCTA